ATCAGTTTGCTTTAGTAAAATGTCAGAAATTATGACTTGTTAATGCCTCAACCATAAGTCAGATACTCGTGGCCCTTTTGCAATAATATACCCCTGCTAAGCCTTTCCACTGCACCATAACCAACCACCTGCTGCCCTCCCTCTTTTGCTTCCGGGTTGTTTTCTCATATTCCTGCTGGTTTGAGCCTGAAATTACTCATCCTCTGGGCTCGGGCAAATTATATTGCTGATTGCTCTGTTTTATTCACTGCTGTACTCCAAATTCCCGCTGTTTGGAGTGTAAGAAAACATAAGGCAGTGCGGCATCAATTGACGATACCATCCGCAACTGGATGCTCCGGATGGGATGGTGATGAGTATGAGGTTGGTATGGTAAGTGTTTTCTATGCAGCGAGCTAGACTACAAGGTAAATTTACCATGTTGGTTTCCCCAAACGTAGCCGCCAACAATGTTTGAATGCATACCATGAATAGCTGTAGCTTTTTTGTTTTGGCCACGTGATAACTATAGTTGCTTAATTGCAGTTTGGAGATAATTTTCTCATTATCCTTTTTAGTTATGGATGAATGACCTCTCCATTTATCTTCAAGCGTTCTCTTCAATCCTACATTACTACATATAATCAATCAATAAAAAACCTCTCCATTTATCTACAATCATCCTCTTTAAATTATTTCTCCTGTTGAGCTGAGAGTTCGCCGGAAACAGCCTTCCTACCCTTTTTTCAGGGTAGAGGTAAGGTCTGCGTACACTCTACTCTCCCCAGACTCCACTAGTGGCATTTTATTAGGTATGTTGTTGTTGTTGTTATATCCTCTTCAAATATTCAATGCTACAGAAGAACGGAACTAGTTGATCAAATCACTCAACATACCAAGGACCCGGTAGCATGACCAATGACTAATTCCTTTCTCACTCTCTTTTGGTTCAGAATCATTTTCATTTATGTAATGAATTAATAGATCATTTTCATATGAATTCCATTTGTTTATATTTCGATTCTGATATAAACCCTATTTCACCATTTTTGCGGCATTAATTTAGACAATTTAATCTGAGATAAATTGTAGATAATGTCGGTCTTAACAAGTATTTCCATCAATTGGTTTTATAACTCTAAAGTCTAAAGTTTCTAACGCATTGATTCAGAAACATAAATAAGGCCTTTTTTCTAAATTTTCTAACAATGTTTGAATGTACCATGAATAGCTGTAGCTTTTTTGTTTTGGCCACGTGATGACTATAATTGCTTAATGGCAGTTTGGAGAGAGTTTTCTCATTAATAGCCCGTTTGGCCAAGCTTCTAAAATCAGCTTATTTTAAGAAGTGCATTTCTCAAAAGTAAGTACTTTTGAAAAAAGTACTTTTGGTGAGAAGCAGTTTGTGTTTGGCTAATTAATTTAAAAAATACTTTTGAGCAGTAATTAAACTTTGGCCAAGCTTTTGAAAATTGCTTCTAAATATATTTTTTTCAAAAGTGCTTCTCAAAAAAGTGCTTTTGGAGAGAAGCTACTTTTTTCTGTTTCTCCAAAACTGCTTCTGCTTCTCCTCAAAAATACTTTTTTTCCTTCCAAAAGCTTGGCCAAACACCTCAATATTTGGCCAAAATTGCTTTGGGCCAAAAAAAGCACTTTTGGCCCAAAAAAAAAGCTTGGCCAAACAGGCTATAAGTATCCTTGACAATGCTACAGAAGAACGGAACTAGTTGATCAAACCACTCAACATCCCGCTAGAATGACCAATGACTAATTCATTTCTCTTTTGGTTCAGAATAGGGGTGGCAAAATGGTTAAAAGAAAACAGTTAACCACCCATATTATTCATTAAAAAATGGGTTGGATAATGAACTTTTTAAAAACGGGTTAAGTATGGATAAGAATCATATTGGATAACTAATGGATAACCAATGGGTTTAACTTTTACATTTATAAAGTCTCAAATAGGGGGTTACTCAAGTTAGGGAGACTAAGAATTCTCCAAATGTGATCATATGTAAGAAGCCATGGATATATGGTTACCCATATTATCCGCCGGTTAACTCGTTTTCTATCTGTATTAAATATGGTCGGGTCGGATAATTTATCCGTAGAATTACAAGAAAATACACATGACTTCACACCATAACAAAAAATGGCCCATGTTTTTAAGTTTTACCCGACCTAGCCCATATTGTACATATTTTGAAAACACTAGCTCTTGCAAATTCAAAATCTATGTTCTTACAACCATTGCTTCTAAAAGCTATGGAGTTAAATATGTGTTCTCACAACCATTGCTTTCATTCTCTCTTCTTCTCACATCTTTTACATATGCTTCAAGGGGCCGTCAGCCATTACTGCTTCTTCCCCTATGTCATCTGGTTGCAATGTAAAAAAATTCAAGAGTAGAAGTCCACCATTGAAGGTCATTCAAAGCTTTGCTTTCAAAAATAGAATTTTTGAGTTTATTAGTTGTTTGGATTGAGTGTTATTCCAATTGATTGAAAATATCAAAAGGAGTTAAAAATTTAAATTTGAAGTGATTTGGAGTAGATTTGAGAAAGATTAGAGTTAAATTTCAGAAAAGACGCAAGGAAGAAGACGAAGTCAGTTTTTTGTATAATTATGTATAATCTTGTATAATAGTGTATATGAGTGTATAAACACATCTTATACACTATTCTACACTTTTATACACCTTTATACAAGCATCTGTAGACGAACTTCTTACACGATTTTCAGTTGCAATTCTTGTTCAAAACCAGTCCAAATCTCCATTAAATGACTTCAAATTTTATATACAACTTCCTTATACTATTTCTAACAAGTCTAAATAGTACCCACTCCAAATTTTTCACAAAATCAAATTCGGAGTTAAACCCACATATTTAAACTTGTTAAAAATCTAATTTTCACCACCCAAATGGATTTGGTTTATTGAACTAATCTTTGAGTCATAGTTACTGATTTGAAAATTAACTAAAAAGCTTGAGAAATCTTTTTAAAAATTAAATAGTAATTTGGGAACCTATTGGAGTTGGATGTTGAATCTTAGCCTATTATTTTTGGGCTAATTGGTTGTAAATTGAAGGATTAGTTACCTCCTATAGCAAAGGTTTATACCTTATTTATTTTAAATAAATACCCTTTTAAAAAATTATATTCCATAGCTACCTTTTGATTTTTTATAGCCAAATATCTATTTATAGTCATCTCCTACCTTTAAGCCATAAAATAAGCTTTGTATTATTTTTCTCTCTCCCATCAAATTCTAATAACCACTAAACACCGGGGAAGATGAAAGGGAAGGGGAATATGTTGTGTCTAAAGTATTTTATCAGCAACAGCAGCAGGTCAAGCAAGGTGAAAAAATTGTACCAGAATTGACCGAGGAGTCTGAATGTCTGGTTGCTAAAGTAGATCCACATACCCCCAAGTCTGTGACTTCTGACCCCCCTCATGGCGAGAGGCTATTTTCAACTATGATTTCTATGTCTATATCGTGCGGCGCCTCTGATTTCTAGTTGTGTGTTAGGGTTTTTCCATTCTATTCATTTGTTCTAATGAGTTACAAGGATATTCGGTGAAGAGAAAGATAGAGAGAAAGGCGAAAGAGTTGAGGGTTTTTGCTCGACGGCGGATTCGCCGGAAATTAGGGTTTGTTCTTGAACAAAGACGACGGAGTTTGGGGTTGAGCAACTTGATTTTCTGTTAATATATTTCAATGTATTTTCAACGTATCAGGCTGTATTTTCATGTATTTCATTGTATTCATTGTCTTTTTTTCCCATTGTAATTCAATGTATCTCGCTGTTATATTTCATTGTATTCACTATCTTTTTTTCATTGTATTTCAATGTATCCCGCCGTATTCTATGTATTTCATTGTATTCACTGTCTCGCTATATGCCATGAATGTATTCATATATTTTTTTAATTAATTTTATTTTATGTATTCAGATGTATTATATGATTTTTCTGAAGATTGCTATGTTTTTGAGGTATTTTTCGGTTGAGAATCTTTTTTATAACTGGAAATACAAAATTTATGTGTTATAATTGAGTTTGTTGAGTTATATTAGGAGTCTATTATGTTAATTGATTCACTTTCCGTTTAAAAACAGTGTAATCCCCTATTTCACGCCGTAAATACAGTCGAATGCAATAATCTGTCTAGCTGTAATTCCATGTTTCACGCCATGAATACAATCGAATACACTCGAATACAACAACTGATTAGCTGGACTTCCCTGATTCACGCCTATTTTTGCTACTGTATTCATGAATACAATAGCTTAAATACATCTAATACATCTTATAACAACAGAAAACGTATCTACAATTCGTAATATAGCTAATGGTATCTATAGATAGCTAATTATCACTAAAAGATAGTGCTTTATGAAAATTTCTCTAAATTGAAATATGAGCTATAAAATTGAAAAGTAGGGAGCCCAGTTGTTCTTATCCGACCCGACCCGCCCGTTTGCCGCTCCTAGTTCAGAATCATTTTCATTCATGTAATGAAATAGATAATTTTCATATAAATTTCATTTGTTTATATTTCGATTTTGATTTTTAAACATGCGACATTGATAAACCCTATATTTTTGTAATTTTGTGGCATTAATTTAGACAATTTAATCTGAGAAAAAATAGATTTGATAATGTCGGTCTTAAAAAGTTTATCCATCGATATATTCCACGACTCAAGTTTCAAATGCTTTAAAACAGAAACATAAAGGAGGCCTTTTTTCTAAATTTTCTCTAATTATTTGATAATTATTAAGACCAATTTTGACATTCCTTTCTCCCAGCAAGAAGCCCTTCACTGAGCACTACCACAGTCAGCAACATTCTCGACCTTATTAGAGTTGGGAGAAAGAGATGTATTTAAGAAATTGGAGTGGCTTTTGAAAATAATGTTCGCCTAACACTTGGAGGATGTTTGGCTAAGTTTATAAGCTGGTCAAACTAGCTTATAAGCATTTTTCGACTTATTAATTTCAGAAGCCAAGAGCAGCGAACTAGAACTGACAGCGTTTTATTAAACATCAGAAACATGCAGATTAATTCATTCAAAAAGTTTGCGGATACCAAACCACATTATTCCAGTTTAGTAACCAGAATAGCAGTAAATCGCAAGCAAGTAGAGTTTGATCAGAACTTGTTAATGAAATTATGAATGTGAGAGTTAGTCTCTTGAGCTCTTTCTTGATTAATGAAATGGGCAGCTCCTTCCATCACAATCACATCCTCATCAAGCATTGGAACATCCTTCTTGAAACCACCTCCGTGCACATACTCTTTCATTCCTGGTGTCGTATACACCAAGTCCAACTCACCAACCACGAATTTCACCGCAACCTTCACTTTTGCTCCTGTCCACGCAGCTGTCAGCTCCCAATTCCTGCAAAAAAAAAAAAATTCAACAGTATAAAAATCATATATGAAAAGTTTAACTTGTATACACACTAAGGGCACGTTAGGTATTAAGGACAAGGAATAATTAACTCCGAGACTAAATTTAAGAAGAGTTTATCTCATGTTTGGTTGGGAGAAAACTGCGGATAATTTATCCCGGGATTGTAGTGTTTTCTTATACCCATGGAGAGGTGGAATAACCAATCCCGGAGTAACTAATCCCAAGATAATTAATTCTAGGATAACATCTTTCCAACCAAACGACCCATAACAGTGTTACAAAAAATATTAAGCACCATAGCAAGTGAAATTAGCAACTTGAAGAAAATATAGTTAGCCTGTTACAAAGATATGTTAAAATCCTTAAATAGAGTAAAAATAATATACACAGATTTAGGTGTAATGGGACGTACAAATCGAGTGCACGGTAGTAGTTCAATCCTCCAGTGAAGCCCTTTTGGTCAAACTTGGTAGAGTAATACTTGAGGTCATCTTGAGAAAGCCAAGAAGGTAGCTTAGAATATTCAGGGGAAACGCCAAAGGGGTTTTCCTTGGGCAAGCAAGGGGGTCCTGGTTTTCTATCTGTAAGTATCTTTTTCAGTACTGCTTCGCTCCCATATTTGGCTATCTCATCTTCCATTCCTGGATCCTGTAACATAGTCACAATGTCAAATGCACATGTCAAAATATACATTATGTTTCGAGATAGAAAACCAGGACAACAATTACATTAGACAAACAGAGCTATTTCAAGCAAAATTAAGCTTATCTTTTAATTTTTTTTAAATAAAGCTTAAGTTCTATACTGAATAAATGATAAATGACCTGCGACAACAAGTTTGTAATACTAATGGCGCACAAAATTCATTATATTTTAGCGTAGTTAAGTTCAATGCCTTTTAATATCGGTAGGTCTAATTTCAATGGTGCAAACCATTGAAATTCACATGGGGTTGGTGAAGTGATTTACCATTCCGGTAGAACAGCATTTATTGAGCCATGCAGCACCGACTTAGCAAAATCATGCAAAAACATAAACCCGAGGAAGAAAAAGAAAAAAAAGAAGATGCTGTAAAGTTTGAATTTTATCACACAGGTCTGTCGTGGTAGGTAAAAGCAGCGGTGCACATGGGACAATAATAGCAAAGCATATTTCCTCTGGACATAATGAGCTATCTAACTCCCACCTCTAACCATAAGCTCATATGGTTCAAAACCAGGTAATCCTAAGATTATAATCAAAATTATCTATACTATCTTCTATATGAGATAGATAATCTCATGACTGCGATATGAAAACTAACCTGAATTAGATAATACTCTTAAGCAGACACACACACAGATTGAATCCAAATTTTATATCGAGATAATCCACTTAATCCCTTCAACCAAACAACCCTAAGTATATAGGGGAATGATATGTTATGGAGCAAGTTGTACTTTGGACTTTTACTAAATTTCATATCTTTTTTATGGATTAAACATTGTATTTTTGTATTTAAAAGATATTTTAGATTTTTTAAAACCTAATTAGGGGTGCGCGGTAGATAGTTCAATCCTCCCGTGAAGTCATTTGGTCATATTTGGTAGATGGAGTATTATGTTCGGCTATGTTAACGAACTAAACTACTAGTACTAACAACTTACACTGACATAGGCACGTTATATATACATCACCGCTACCAGCAATCTTAAATTCTACGTTAGTGCAACTAGTAAATTGGACCCATTAACATTTAGGTACAACATGAAGACAAATTGGAGGTACTGTCTTGGATGGTCAAATTTCACTACAATAATGCCAACTTTCCATGTGCATTAAGGAATTCTGAATCTACCCTGTTCTCTTCATCACGAACAAGTGGTCAATTTATGTACTTAGAAAATATTTATTTAACTCCTTTTCTCTTTTGTTTTCACTACTTGAAAAGCTTATACATCTAAAAGTTACAAGGAGTACTAGAAGCCAGTTTAAATATTCCTTTCGTCTTGTGTTGTTTGCTTACTTTGGAAGAAAATAAGAGATGTAAAATCATTTAACTTTTCTAAGAATTTTCTTTAGAAAGGGTATGCTTAGAATGTTTTTTGTTTTTCTACCTGGTGTCCGTAATACTCATTAAGCCTCAACTAAATTCAGATTCTAGCCTAGAAGGCACATATCGGGTTAAGGACGAAGGAGTACTTGTTACTCTACGACAACTTTTGTTTATGCTTCGAATGGTTACTAGTAATGAAGAGATCTGTCAAACTTTTTTTGCATGCAAAATAAATAAAGGTATGAAACAGTATAAACAACTTTTTACACTATTAGGGTATTTAAAAAGTAATTAAAAACGATCTATGATAAGTGAATTAAATTAAATTTTACTAATTGTGTAAACATATATTTGCATAAAGAGTGAGTGAATATATGTTAAATCCTAAAAAGATAATGGTGTTGCCTACTGTAACTTTAAAAAACGAAGCTGGATTAGTCAAAATTCTAGGCACGTACCATCGTTATTCAAAAGAGCGGAACAACTTTCCCCACCTATCTCGAAATTAACACACAACCAATACATATGAAAGACCCCATATACTTCTAGCGTGGTCACAAATTTATTTATTTTTATAGGTTATATTTTACTTATATATACACAATATAATATTTCACTGAGTCTTTGAATTTATGTAACTCCCCAACTGTCAGAGGCAGGAGCGAGCATTTCAACTTTATGGGTTCTAAGTTTTAGAACGGTTTTAAGAGCTACTAACTGAGTTTTAAATTTAATGTTTTGAATTTCGTAACACAAGTATACTATTTGAATAAATTTTACTGAATTCGGCCGAATCCGAACTTAGGCTTGTACCTCCGCCCCTGCCCACTGTATATACTAATCTACGATGCCATTAGATTAATCATATATGTAAGTGCAAAATAATCTTGAGAATTAATATCTTCTACTACTACATATCAAGTGCGTACCTGGAATCTGCACATGTAGTAATCATCTCCAAAGAAAGCTCTCATGGTAGGAATTGGCTTCATTTTGGGATGCCTTGGTCTGAAAGGCACAGAGAGACAAACATACGCCTTCACCAAATCAGGCCTGAATAAACACAAGTACCAACCTATCATTGCACCCCAATCATGAGCCACCAAGAAAACACTCTCTACTCCTAGCGACTCTATAAGCGCCACCAAATCCCCCACTACGTGAAAACAAGTATAGCTAGCTACTTCAGCAGGTGCGTCAGTGTCTCCGTAGCCCCTAAGATCCGGCGCCACCGCACGGTAGCCTAAGTCAGCGAAGGCTACCAACTGGTGGCGCCACGTGTACCAGAGCTCAGGGAAGCCGTGGAGGAAGAGAATCACTGGGCCTTTACCCTTTTCAGCTACGTGCATGTTGATGCCGTTAACGTTCACGGTTCTGTGCTCGATGCTTTCCATTTTTCTTTCTTGTTCAGGATAAGACTGCAGTCGCTTTGTTTTGTGAAAGGTGATATATCATGTGTTTTTGTAGGGTAGTTTTATGAAGGAAAAGGGAGGCAAAAGTGACGGATGAAAGTAATTAAATGAAGCTGCCGTCTTAATTCGTCGTGGATGTGAAGCGGACTTTATTAATAATGGTGCACTGGAAACGAGGGGGCCGAAATGCATCTTAAAGATGGACACTAATACCTAGTGGCTAAATGTAATAGGAACTTGTGTATAATATGACTGCCAGCCTAGTCATACCCCACACATTTCCCCCCTTTAATTTGTGGTAGGGGTGGTTGGCGTAGGAAATCCAGATTCCTTAAGAATGAATTAATATGGCTGGTATAGGAATATGATATAATTTGACTAAATACGAAGTTTAATAAAAATAAAAAAATTAGAAATTTGTAATTGTAAATATACCATACATAACATTTGCGTGGAAGACTTGTGAATATAAATATATTATAATATTTGTGTGCATATAAAAGCTTATTATTAACGATAAAATATGAAGTTTAAATTATATTATTTTCAAATTTAAAAGCTAGTACTATTTTTTTTTAAATGATTAAAAAGAAAATGTTAGTCATAAAATTGGTGCACGTAAAATAGTACAATTGATATTTGATAGCCCTACTAGTGGACTCACTGCTAATTTTTGTTCCCTTGATGACCATTTAATTTGGTTTCTGTTCTCTTTCTCTCTATTTCGACCTTTTTTGAAATGGTATTTATTAGACGCGAGATAGTAATTCTTTTTCATTTCTAGTGCATGATAGTACGTTTCAGTTGAGATACTCCAATACTTATAATCCATGTTTAATAAATGGAAGGGAGCAAAGGCTAAATATAATAGGAATTTTTACCTCATATAGCAAATGTTGATATTTTATTTATTTTAAATAAATACCTTTTTAAAAAGTTATATTCCATAACTACCTTTTGATTTATAGCCAAATATCTATTTATGATCATCTTCTACTCTTAAGCCATAAAATACGCATTGTATTATTTTTCTCTCTCATTCTTTCAGATTTTTCTCCACCCTCTCTCTCTCTCAACTCCAGTCTTTCTCCATGAATACAACCACAATTCTCCCAAATACAGATCGAAACGGGAATGAGAGAGAAAAATTGAGGAAAGCATTGTAATGCCAGAAAATTGTTTGCTGCTCGGATCGAAACGTGAGGGTTCTAGGGTTCTGCGTCTTCCTCTTCTCTTCAGATTATATTACCAATATGGAATTTAGAAACAATACTCTATATAAATCTCCGTCTTCCTCTTCTCTTCGTCGTTCTAGGGTTCTGCCCAATCTGGGGTTTTCCGACCCAATCCACAAGCGCCATTCAAATTCAATTGTAAAGAATAGGTTTTTTGAAGCGCACGTGAGGGTATTATGGTAATAGGAACAGTGGCGTTTCGAGTCAGAATCGCGGGCCTCTCGACGAGACGACATTAGGGTTGTTCTTGAACAAAGACGACGGAGTTTGGGCTGAGCAACTTGAATTTTCTGTTAATATATTTCAATGTATCTCGCTGTATTTTCATGTGTTTCATTGTATTAATTGTCTTCTTTTTTTTTCCATTGTATTTCAATGTGTCTCGTTGTATTCCATGTATTTCATTGTATTCACTGTCTCGTTCTATTCCATGAATGTATTCATATATTTTTTAATTAATATAATTTATGTATTCAAATTGCTCTATTTTTGTTGTATTTATCGGCTGGAAAAAATATTCAGCATATTTTCTCAGAAGATTGCTATATTTTTTGGGTGTTTTTCGGTTGACAGTCTTTTTTTATAACTGGAAATACAAATTTTGTGTGTTATAATTGAGTTTGTTGAGTTATATTAGGAATCTATTATGTTAATTGATTCACTTTCCGCTTAAAAACAGTTGTAATCCCCTGTTTCATGCCGTGAATACAGTCGAATACAAAAATTTGTCTAGCTGTAATCCCCTGTTTCACGCCTAGAAATGCTAATGTATTCATGAATACAGTAACTTAAATACATCGAATACACTCTAAAAAACCTGAAAACATAGCTATAGGAAGTAATATAGTAAATGGTAGCTATAACTAGCTAATAACCACTAAAATATATTAGTTTCTGAAAGTTTCTCAATATAATAGGCTTAACTTTTAAAATTTTAATATTAATTATACCGTTAAGATTAGAGCAACTCCAACCTTTCCCCATCCCCCATAATGGGGGAAAAAAATGGGGGAATTTTGCTCCAACCCTCCCCCATATTTGTCCCCAAAATGGGGGATGAATAGTGTTCCCTCAAATATGGGGGTACACTATTCATCTCCCCCATTACTATTCACCCATATTTTATTATTAGTTTAATTATTTAATCTTTAGTTTAACTCTTTATATATACTAATTATGTTTATGTAATATCTTTATAATATTAATATCATATCTTAACTTTGGTGTATAATTTTGATAAACTAACTTTCGTGCATTTATTATTTTTATGTAAAATTACAAGTTAATTTTATTATAAGTTAATTGTACAAAAAATATATAATTATCTCAAAAAAATGAATGGTGCAAATATAAAATATTAGATGTTGTTAATATTGAAAGGTGCGAATATTGAAAGGTGCGACATAGAAGAATTAAGGACAAAGATGCTCATTTTGCACTTCGTAATGCATTAATAGATCATTTATGGGAGAATACTAGAGGTTGAAGTAGAATATTTATCTAGTATTTCGAATGAATTTTATCATTATGTAATATGTATTTAATTAATCTTGTGTCACAATGATTTCACTTTTATTTGAATTATTAATTAATCTATAATAATTGCTTACAAATTATATTATTTAAAATTTTATGGAATTATTTTAATTATGGAAATTACAAAATAAAAATAAAAGATGGAATTTGTTTAATAGAAATTAAAAAATGAAATTGAAATGAAAGATAATAATAACATATAAAAGAGAGAGAAGAATATAAAAATTTGGGGGAAAAAATGGGGGAATGAATCCCCATTTTGGGGACAAAAAATGGGGGCAAGGTTGGAGTTGCTCTTACAGGTTTAAAACTTGATACACTTTAGGCTTTTTCTCTTAATTATTACACGCTGACAGATAACTGCCATCTTCTCAATGTTCATATCTGTACTGAAAAGAACAGACCTCGAAGATACATCACACCTATCCTTATCATTAGAAGTTTGACTATTTTGTACTAGTGGTGGCAAATAGGTGAATTAAAAACGGGTTGGGCAAATGTATTTTATTATACAAAATTGTGTACACATTTTAATTTACATGACGTGGTTTTGTTCAACAAGATATTTAAGATAATAGAATTATTTTTATATTGTAATTTTAAATATTAGTTACTATGTGCCTATAAATTATAATATTTTAATATATATTATTTTAAATATATTATAATATTTGCATAATTATAAAAGTTTCTCATTAAGAATATAATGAAAAATTTAAAAGGTTCAACTATTTAAAATATAAAAATATTTTTTCTTGAAACGAATTAATAAAAATAATAATGAAATAAAGTGAAATAGAGGGATTTCAATAGCTAGAAGATTCATTAATAAGTGACATGTACCGAGTAATCTCATCTTTCACGACATTATTTTTCTCATTAATCATGTAAATTTGGCCTATAAAGTTCATTTTAGTTTTAAAATATGAAATTGTCGGAAATTGTACATGATTAACACGCATGATAAAATCCATACATTACTGACATAGTTTTGCCTTTGTTTTTGGGATTTAATCTTAATGTTCAATTTCATCAACCCGATGAAATACTTCCTCTGACCCAAGATTATGCATAACAGGGCTCATCATGAGAAAATTGTATCTTCGGCCCACCAGGCCCATCTAATCGAAACTTTGGCCCACCTCTCTAATGAAATTTCTCTAATATTTTAGTATTATTTTTCCATTCAATCTTGGAAAGGAAGTGATTCTATTTTATAAAGGAACTTTGTCGCCTTTATTAAAAAAACTAATATTTATTTTCCTCCACTTTTTTCCCTCGACTTCTCATTCATGCCCTTACTCAAAAAACCCAACAGCAGTAAGTTTCAAGATAGGTGGCATTAGATCCTCAACAAAAAACGGTAGAAACTGACTTGAAGTACACGACATTGTTTCCTATATCCGTCCTTTTTTAAGTCATATTCATCCCTTTTTAAATCCAAACTCACTCATATTTACAAGTTAGAAACGGGTTATTTGCTTTGTTGTTGTATAAACTCAAAGAATTGCATATAGGATTTAACTTGTATGAGTATGACATTACAAATATACATTATTATTATATTTTAACATGTTACTTATACTTTACTGTCTAGTTTATCAAATTAATCAGTTTAAGTAATTACATGCATCATTTTTCTTTGTCACCCAAAGAATATGTAGTACGGGCAAACTTCCTTAAAATGTGAGATTTGTATCTTGAAAATAAAATAGGTTACTATAAAATTGAGCTTAATTACTATATTTGAGAGTTACCTACTATTGCAAATCACCTTAACCTGATAACGTAAATATATTAGTATAACCTATCGATGCACAAAAATTAAACTCCATATAGTATCATCCCATTTTACACGAGTATAACTTTTTTAATAATACAAGTACTATATCTATCAAATCACCAATAGATAATTGTGATAGATATTGGCAATGGAAGTGGGACTGTCTTACACATTTATTACATGAGTGCCGGAGCACAATCAAAATCAATATTCAGAAGGAGGAGGAGCTGCAGCAGAAACTGGAGCAGCAGCATAAACTGGAGCATTAGCAGCAGCACCAGAGCTAAGAGGTTGAGATGTTCCATGGTGTGCACGAGTTTTCTGCGTCAAACATAGTCCATGCAAAGATACTCCTGCAAGTATTTCATTTTTTAGGATAAGAAAAGCTAAGACTTTTGGCTAGATTAATGTATCATATAAAGCATCAATAAAAGAAAGAGACAAACTGTAATTTTGTTAAATTAGAGGAAAAGGAGAAACAACAACAATTCAGTAAAATCCCACAAGTGGGATCTGGGGAAGGTAGAGTGTACGCAGACCTTACCCCTACCTCGAGGGGATAGAGGGGCTGTTTTCGGTAGACCCTCGGCTCAAGAAGACAAAAAGAAAAGTAGAAAGCAAATTGTAAATAACTTTTAC